TGAACCTGTTAAAAAAAAAAATCATATATTTAAATCTAAATCTCAAACAATATTTACAAATAACTTAAAGCAAATAACCCTTTAATATAAAATTACTCATCTTATACCGATTTTATCATTGTCAAATTGTATTCTATATAGTAGCTGTTCCAGATTGCATATTATTTAAATCAATGATTTATAAAATTCCAAACACTGGATTCTTGATTCTATACATTTACGTATCGCCTACTAAAAATTTCAGCATCAAATGATGCCATTCGCAAGATAAAAATAATAATATAAAATTAATTTCGAACGTAGCAAGTACTTTGTACTACAAACAAGTTATATGGTAAAACATAATTTGTAGACCCGACTTCTTCAAATAGAAAATAACAATGCTCATAGCTTCGCAACTCTTCTCTACATATCCACAAAATGAAAAAATTCAATTTACATTGATACACATACACACACTACTTTCTCGTGATAATAATCGCTGTTATCAAAATGTTGGTATCAAACTGAAAACACTTGTTCGTTCAACTATATCGAATTTTCAATTATTAAAAAGTATACACAAAATGTAATTCTCCAGTATTATATCAATGATTACTTGGTAGAATGTTTAAATATGTTTTAAAAGAATAATAGAGAAATTAATGCGTATGATACCCATCGCTTTTTCGTTTTTTATACTGCAAGCGTTTATATTTATGTAATCGCATAGCATGTAGAATAATATTGCGAAATTCGGAGCATTTTTCTAACGTTATATGTACATATACACACACAAGTACACAAACACGCGCAAATATAAAAATTATGTACAAGATAAAGAAAGAAACAAGGCAGAGTAACAGAAAATAGGAATGCAATGCCTCAACGAGACAGAGAATCGATGATACATTTTGTAACATTCAATTTGAAGCAATGCATAGAAACTCTGTCAAATCTGTATATATATCTGTACATACAAATGTACATATATATACATACATATAGAGAGAGATAAAAAGAGAGATTTACAAGTTTATGATGGCAACAAAAGTAATAAATGAAAATATTTATCACAAATGAAGTCAGGAACCGGTGATTCAATAATGCGTACGATTTTGTTTGTATAAAAATGAGCAATCTGAAATATATTACTTAATAATAACAATAAAAATAAACTATAAGAATATCTGCAACTTCGCTTAACCTAGCATACTGATGATAATAATTATCTATTGATTGCTAATGATTTTACCATAAAACAACTTGAACCGTCTTTACAATTGTTTGGTTCCTGATTTCTGTGTCAAAAGCAACAGTCACTTTTGATTTCCGACTTGGTGATAAATTGTTAAACAAAAGTGGATGAATCTATCGCTTCTTCTATGCAATTTCGCATCAATACACACAAGTAAATAGCATAATTTTTAACAAATAATCCAGGTATATTAAAAGTCGTCGATGCCGCCATCAGGAACGCCAGCACGAACTTTATCCAATACTTTGTTGACAAACTCGGTTGAATGATTTGCAATTCGTACTTCTGTAACACATAAATGTGATTTAAGAATGCATAAATCTTTAATTTTCACTATGTGAAAATGATTTTTCTTCCTAAAAAAAATATTTAGTTTAATGTTTATCAAATATAGACATTCAAGACAATTACATTAGCACTTCTTCTGGCTTCCTCTGTAATTGTATTAAACAAAAACATAATATTTGGTTGTTGGTATAAAAATAGCAATCGTAGTAATACTAACTCGTAGCAAGTTTACAGCATTTTTCCATCTGACGTGTTAATTCTTCTTGATTTTCAGGATTGGACTCCGCTAGTTTCGCAGCAAGTGTTTGCTTCGCTTGGGATATGCCATGAATCAGTCGCTCTGTGATAATAATTAGAAATTTGCTACATTTCGTTTCCAATGAAAAGACCAGTAAACAATCGAATAGTGTCTAATTGTGAATACTAAACTGTGTTCTTGTTCAAGACCATGTAATTTGATCTTATTCGCTTCGTGTTGAGCTTTCTTCTTCAAACGACACGCCCGGGAAGCCAGTTTATTTTTTTCTTTACGTGTTTTTGGCCTTGCCGTAAATGGTAACTCCGAAACTGGCGTCATGTCATTTATCACACGGGATAGTTTATCTAATTCACGACCAATGCTGTACAATTTTCGAGGATTTGGTGTCAGATCGTTTCCATCACCTTTCCGTGCTTTCCCACTGTGCTTAATACCACGGAGCGCACAATGTGGACTGAAAACAGGATCGGTGGCTTCGTTCAAAATATGTGGATCTTCTAATCGCGTTCTTGCTACAAGTCTCTGTCCCTTTGGTCCCTTTGCCTGTACATTATACTGCCAAAAGTATCGTTCTTTTTTACTGTGTTTACTCTCCCGATTCGAGTCGATGCTTCCACTTCCTATTCTACTTCCAGTACTTTGATCTTCACCATCGCTGCCACCTGTATCTACAAATGTATGATACTATGTAACGCTAGACCAACAAACATTATGAGAACAATTGTAATACTTGTAATTGATAAAATACCGTTATCGCTACTGTAATCATCATAGTGATCACTATCATCATCACTATCTTCATAACCTTCATCGTGACTAAGATGATCAACACGGTAACACGGATCTGGACTGAGTGCTTCCCCAGTACTTAAACTACTTGTCGAACCTGCCTCAATGACACCGCTACCGGTCAGACTACTAGTACTTAATAAATGTGGACGTGGTTCTCTGCGAGTCCAAATCTGTTCGAATCCCATTGTTCGAGTTGGAGCAGACATTGACAAACTGGAAACCTTGGGTTTATTGTTCGTCGTACAACCAATGTCTATCTGTCCACATGTGGAATTATCAAAAGAGTTTTCGCCTCGCCTCATTAATAGATCATGAAGTGCTGATTGACCACTAGGCCTGTTCATAGGATGTGGAGATGTAGATGAACTAGCTGTTGAACTACCTTTAAATAAAAATAATACTATCAGTTATTAACATTAAAATATTGTTTTAATCTCAATCATTAATTTTCTTGAACTAATATAAATTTAAAAAATTAAGAGCTATTTAATATTATTATGCAATAAACCTGCGACATTACTGGTTCCTGGACTTGGAAATGCATTAGGACTAATTGTTTCCAAATTATCACCAACATTTATATTCAAATTAAATCCATGTGTGTTCATGTAAGCAGGACAAATATTGCGATATGTTGATCCAGATTGTGGAAAACTGCTTGGTGCAAAACCACCATTATTATCATTGAACAGTGGAGCAACCGATTGCGTGACATTAACGTCTACTTTAAAAGGTTGAATCCTTTCTTCTGGTAAAAGCAGATCATCAAAATTTAAATCGCCTAGAAGTGTTTCGTCATTTGCATTTAGTTCAGCAAGGGTAGGTCCTTGAATAAGGTCTGCTTTGTCAACTTGAAATATATCGTCGTCCTCCATTTTAAATGATACATCTAGTTGATCAGAATCCATTTTAAATGGAGATTCTATAAGATCTGGTCTGTTAGGCCAAACAGATGGTATGGTTAGTGGAGACGGGGAGAACTGATCGTATACACCTCTACCGCTCCTATGTCCACCTGGTATTGGTACTGATGCAGAAGACGAACCCATTTCTTGATTGGGTTCTTGCTTTATTATACCATCCATTGGACTGGGTTTAATCTCTGGAAATATCTCTGTATATCCAGACTCTCCCATTTGTAACAAAATCTTAAAATCGATCAGATTAAAATTTTCTCCTTTCAAACATACAGTTTAGATAAATCAAAATTTGATGGAGACTTACCAATTATTTAGTTTTTGATTAGCCAATCAATCAAATATCAAACGATCGATTGCAAAGTTCCAAACAGTAATCAATTGTATGCAACCACACAAACTTGCTGCATGCAAGTAAAGTCGTGCGAAACAATTCGATTTAAAGTGAAAGTGAAGTAAATAACAAAACGTGCGATCACGGTCGATTTGTTCGCATAGTTCTTGTTGGTAGAAATTAATAACAAAAATTGTGGGTCCACGCGCTTACATAGTACACTCAATACCCGCACACGAGATGACCATGACTTTCGTCAGCAAATATTTTTCCTAGGCGACGACATTGCTTCGGATGAAATTTTCTCAAATTAATCTGGACAAAAAATCCCAAGATTTTTCGTTCAGGCGAAAAAACACATTACAGTGGAGAAGCAAACGTTCTGATGCACTAGTGAGTCACTTTCTTCGGCTGAGCACCAAATATCTGTAAAAACCAATCACGAAACACAAGTTTGTTATTGTTTTGCCACAAAATTTTCGAGACAATATTACTGATATTAACATAAATAGGGAACGGTCACATGACAAAAGTCGAGTGTCCGACCAATCAAAACATTCAACCAATCATAAGTGAATCTTTAACTTGTTACTAATTTATGATTCGCAAGTTTATTAACATTTATAACACAATAAAACGACAAAGTCACACGATGATGCAAAGACCATTAAATAGACAAACTTCTATTGCGACTATTGCAAAGTTAAGCGACTGGATAAAAAAATGTAATCGTAGTTATGTATTACTCATTTGTTGCTCATTCGCTTTAAGAATTGACCCGTCATAACATAACCACGTGATTTTTGCAGGAACGTGCGCAATGACATGACCACGATATGTACAATCATTTTTATGACATAATTATAATATACATAGTTGAATATTTCAATTGTAATTATTAATCATTAATACCAAGAGTTGTTACGCAATTTTTATTTGATAGAACAATCTCAGTTACTCTAAATGGATTCTATTTGTGAATTTTTTTGCAGATAGGCACGCTCCTGCTTACAATGAAATGGTCTAATGAGAGGGTGATCACGTGATACACTAAGTCCACCATTGTTGTGTGTGGGCTGTCTACATCTACAATACAATGTGAATGAATGGCAAGTGGACTACGTACATATGTGTACGATGTGTACTTATGTACATAGAAAGAACTGAAGCATGCACACAGTGTTTAATTTCATAGCAGTCTTTTAAATCTTAAAGTCCCCAGTGTTGATACATATTTGATTGGTAGAACGTACAAATCATATTGTTATAATTTTCTATTATTTGACCTAAAACAGAAAAGATTTTTTTCGCGGTCACAGTACATATATTGAGATCTGTTAGCATAGTTCAAGAACAATTGTTACAGCTCTTGTTTATGCCTTGAATGTTAACCATCCGGATCGAAATAGATCCCGAATTATAAATAATGAGTGCAATATATCGCGAGTGTGTGTCTCTATCGGATAATTTACTGCGTCCTTGGTAACAGAGCATAACATTTGTTATAATAAAATGGCTGGGGACAAAGTCGTCGGTGGTTCTTCGTACATCAGCGGAGAAAAAGTACATCAAATTAGTGCTTGTAACGTGAATTTAAATGTGGAAGATGAGTTTCTCGAATCTGTCGAATACGTCCCTTGTCCTGAATTTTTTTTTCCGGTAAGTTCTCATAATTTGATCATTTATATGATGATTATAATTTGTACTGTGAAGGTTTCTTTTATTGAGTTCTTCGAATCATAAATTGGTGTCAAAGACTACGTACTATGTTGATAGTTTAACTAATACACTTACTATTTTAGACGGCAGCTTGTTGTTTCTGTAATGGGTATTATGGGCCATGTTCTGGAGAACCTGTTTGCCCAACTTGTCATGCGTTTTTATTTCCTAATGACATTGGTTTTCTACCAGTACCTATCTTCAGTGAAGTATGTTTATTTGTTATTATACTACTGTTGTCTAGTGTGTTTCAATTTATTATATTTCATAAATAATTTCTTTCAAATGTTCTAGAAAACAGATGACGAAGATTCAGGAAATGATGAGCCAACCGAATTATATTACAATCATGAGAGAAGAGCCAGTCAGCAACAACAGAATTCTCCACAAAATCCAATTTCAAATCTATCAAACATATCAAATGTTTCTAATCCTAATTCTCATATATCTTCACATATTCACTCGCAAAACAAAAGTATTTCAGCTCTGCAAAATTGTCAAAGAGTTTCTTGTAACATAAACACTGGTAGTTCTAAGAGTGTGGCTGGTTTGTCACAAAACACACGCCATTTTCACGATGAACATACTAATAAAATGCGGGACAGAGCTAATGGGAACGATGAAACACATTCGCAAAATCATAATGAGAAAGTATTGACTGTAAATTTCCAAAATGTGGTAGAGGAAGAACTGCATAACGCAGCATCGCAAGCACAAGAATTAGAAAATTATCAACACTATCAATGGAATTACAAAGTACAGGATAATGTCGGAGAGCCATCACGATCATACAACTTATCCGAACGACTAGTGATGTTAACAAATTATAGACACATCGAGCATGAACCCATTAATGAACCGGGACTGGTGGAACGCTTACCACCAGAGGTGTTGTTATTTATTTTCTCGCATTTGGATGACATTAGTCTTTGGTCAGCTGCAAACGTTTGTCGTAGATGGTACGGGTTGTTATCAACGCATATAACACCGCAACAGTGGCAACAAAATGTTAAATTACGGTGGCCACTGTATAAACCCATTGGAACGGTTAAAAATTGGTATAAAGTGTACGATTTCTTAGCTTCCTCGGCGCCTTGCAGAACATGTTTGGCCCAAATATGTTTAAGATCACGACAATTAAGAATGGAAGAGAATTCATGGAGGAGAAAAAGATTAAATAGCGAAGTTAAGAATTTAAGAGTAGATCCTCCTGAAGGCATCCAAGCTACTCCTTTGGATCAAATGTATTGTCAATGGCAGGCTACTATAACTGGGCCTGTCGGAAGTCCATACGAAGGAGGCTTGTTTTATCTTTATTTGCAAGTACCAAGAAGGTATTTAAACAAATGTATATAAAATAGAAAGCCATATCATGCTTTTTCTGATGCATATTTTAAATTTTTTCAGTTATCCTCTGTATCCGCCGATAGTACGATTTCTTACAAAAATACTTCATCCGAATGTATCTAGGCATGGTGATGTTGGTATAGATTCAATTCATCATAATTGGTCCTTGGCGCTAACAATATCGAAAGTTATAATCAGTGTGCAGAGTTTGCTTACGGACCCGTATTGTCAGGTATATTATATGTGCTAAATTATTGTTTTTACCAAAGGACTACTAATAATAAAAATTGCAATATATAGGTTTGCATGGAACCAGAACTGGGTGAAATGTATTTGAATGATCGTGAAAGATTTGACGAAATTGCCAGGGCATGGACATGGCGATACGCTATGCATGACGTTGTGACACCATTATAAAGAAATGATTAATAAATTATTTGATAAATATGTGACTACTATTCATTAGCCTTTTCAGTGGCTTACGATTATGAATTGAATGAATTGTACTGCAAATAATCGACTCAACAGAAATGCCCGATCGTCAAGCACAATAAAATAGTCCAGAAGAAAATTTTTATAAAGCTTATTTACTATTTAAGTATGATTTTATATATGACAAATATATACATATGCACAATAAAGTAACTAGACACAGTAATCACAGTTTACTGTATCTGACTTTCTGTTTATCTTGGTGATCATAATATTCATTAACAATAAGTTTACAAAGGAACAAATGAAATATAATTATAAGGAAACATATACTGATCCAAAAAAGTGTTGGTAGCCCACCAAGCTGATGTCCATGTTTATGCAAAGCCATCACAACATGATCATGTGCTGGAGCTATAAACAAGACGACGTTATGCAGCTTCCATAAATAAAACAACGGATTTTCATACTAACCATCATCTACTGCATGAACATGCAATGCATTTCGCAGGTCTTGCATATGTTGATGATCAGACGTTATGTATAGTATAGAAGTAAATGGCTTTGTTAATTTTACAGGGAAGTTTGTATACGACTGACTTAATGAAACAGGTGCATCCAAACAGCCTGCATCGCAGCCGAAATATACGCTGTCACTTTTGTCCAAAGCCACTCCCAAAACTGCACGATTGTCTTCCCCTACTGTTACTGATATATTTAAATGAGTTACATTACCGTAACTAATCCTTCTAAAATCAGAAAGTCAAAACATTTACATAACTTACTTTGTATTTGTATAAATAATAAAACAGGTAACAAATTAATTCAAAGTTCTCAATTTACTTTTTTTCTGTATGATTAATATCTTTTTGTTTCTAGTAAGCATCTACTATAATAATACCTAAATAAATAATCTCGATGAAGATATTGTGGATCAGTATTGAACTCAAGATGTTGATTGCTAAATCGTAGACTGCCAAGGCTTAAAACAATTGCTTGTTGTACTGCCAATGGATCGCCTGTCATTAAATGATGACATCCTTGCTTTTCCAGGGTAATTAACCACGCTTCGACAACACTGTTCACGCCAACAATAGTAGATGTATCTTTCCATAATCGTGGTGCATCTCTGAAATATGATGATGAGATAGAAATTCTACAAGGAAGTGTTTGTCAAAAAGTGTTTTACTCACAAAGTATGATGCCCGCGGTAACAACCCTCATTCATAGCTACACTTTTCTCTATGTCTGGAATACCTTTTGAAATTTGAGACAGCACGTAATAAACAGTGGAATTTATTTTGTGACCATTGATAGCACCCTCAGCTTTAGAGTCACTTATTCTGAGACTTGTATACCAATAACTTTGCCAAAGGCTGCTGTGATCAGGTTTCAAATTTCGTTGCTGAATTTTTAATACTTTCTTCATTGCCTGAAATTAATCATAATAAACTATATGGTGTTTGTGCAAATATTGTTGCATTTGGGTATTTGTACAAACCTCTATAGCTTTCTTTTTTGTTATCTCATACTGATTGTGGTATTCCTCCATCAATACAGGTTCACTGTACTGTATACTCGTCATGTACTTTAATTTTACAGTACTTCTTGCTTTAACTTGTACCATTCTTGGTGGAACTTTGTAAAGTATTGAAATAGTAACGATCTTATTTGTGTTAGACAGTGGAACAAAGCCAGAAATTAAGTTATACTCATGTATAAAATCGTCTACTTGAATTCTGCGCATATAAATATATATTCTTAATATCTTTCAATTAGTATCACGAGTTTATTACTCATTTCATATGTATATAAATTTGATGAACCATAAATTTAACAGACATTAGTAAAGTAGTGTGCTCATCCAAAATATAAAACAGAACTATTCTTTTTTTCTTGATCTGTTAAATCAATAGTTCAGTAATACTATGTATTAATTTGATTAATTACTTAGTTAGTTCTATATGAGTGTTGCTCCAATGTGCAGACATTTGAGACTTTAATGGCACATTTTGGGAGAGTGAAAATGGATTTACAATTTTCACATCTTGAACCATTATTGCATCGAATACTCTATGAGCATAATATTGAAATTCTATGTAATATTTGTCCCTGAGACACTGGTAGTGATAAATAACTCCATTTGTAAAATCAGTAACAGTAGCTTCTGTGTGAAGATTGTCACTAGGCAAAGGATGCGAGATTAATGGTTGGAACTGTATTGGTAATGACAATGCTCGTCCTTGCTTGATATATATCAAAGCTTCTGATACAATAGGAACTCCAAAAATTCCATTGCCAATATATGGTAAATACTGATGTTCATTTTCTCTTGGAGGTTTATGTAGTATATTTACATTATACTCATCAGCTTCGTACTGAAACGGAGCCAATCTTTCATTCATACAATAATCTTCAAATGCTGCAAAATACACATTGTTTTATAGTTGAAAGATAAAGATATAGATGAATATACTAAATTGAATTACCTTGTGTAGATTCTCCTGCTGAAGAAAACAACCACTGTGCAAACGGTGGACCAAAATAAAGTAGTATTCCGCCACAAATAATAATGATGATTAGGATCTTGCGATACGAATAATTCCCGTCAACTAAACGACGTATTCGTTTCCCAATTTCACGACTATCGAACATTGTTCCAGGTCTCATAATTATTATTCGTTTTATGTACTTCAGTCTTCGTGCGTTTCTTCAGGCGTTTTTTCAACTTTTGGAGGTTGCTCGGAAACATAACATCTCGACCTTTTTTGAAGTTCCGATTTTATTAAAAATTGTTGTTTGATAATCTTCGTTGTTTACTACTAACAACAACGGCTCCGGCCGTACACACACACATTCATTCATCACATTCATCCTCCACATTTAAAAGATAATTTAACACAAAACAAAATAGCTAAATGACTTAAAATAAGGTTTATATACATATATACATTCACAATCAATACCACCAATCACATATCCGCCATTTCAGCGCCATACCAAACAATAGCGTTATAAGTTTCAAAGGATTTCGATCGTATATTTCATAAAACGCCAATGACTGACTTTCCCGTGAATAAATCACACTTCGCAGTTTAGCGAATGTGACATCGTATGAGCGCTTAGCATCGGTCACACCTGTGATACCCTCTACAGTCGAACCCATAAAATTCTGGTTCACCATTTCCGCACGCAAAGTTGATGAGCGCGCAGTGTTCTTCTCAATCAACCGATATCTATCGCCGTCATGACTTTAGTGATCAAATCATCTAATAGATAATTTTCCAAATTAACCCACATACGTAATGATTGTTCACATTCAAGTGAAACTTTATCGTTATGTTGAGATTTCCAGTGTGCTGTTATAATTACTTTAAATCAAAATGTACCAAACACAAGATACATACATTCTTTCAACATTCATTTAAGTTCTCAAAATCTAACACACCTGAACGATAAAGCATCGAAATATGTATGTATTGTAATTACATACTTTTCATTCGAGTGTCAATGATTCGTGCCGTTTCTACCGTAAAACACAATGCAAATTTTGGCAGGAATCATTTGTATCGTAGGAAGGGTGATAATAGCTCCGCTTATGGCAAAATTAAGAAGCTCTCGTCAGGGTTTATACAGCGCCAATTGGTAAATGGCAAAACGATGAAACTGCTAGCCAAACAGTAGAGCTGCCTGTGTTGAATTTGGGAAATTCTGTCCAGGATTCATACGGCTCCAATTAGTAAATGGTAAAACACTGAAACTAATAACATAAATGATTTAGCGAAATAATATTTCAAAATACATTCGTTGTATTCGTGCTTCAAAAGTTACTTTGTACTTTAAATTCTACTAGTTATTTATTTACGGTAAAGCGACTAGAAATATTAAATTTATTAATAGAAGCCGTTTACTAATTGGCGTTGTACGAATTCTGAAGAGAACTACAAGATATCATAAGAAGAGATGCCAGGGTTCACTTAACCCCACTTTGAAGCAAACTGCGAAGGATGACATTCGTATCAACAACGTCATAACATGTGGACTACAGTAACATAGGGTCACAGTGTCACGTGTGTGAATGCTGTCCTGTCAATAGTCTTGCTAGAAATTTGGATTTCTAAGTATATTTGCATTTTAGACAGGCTAAAACTTGTGAATTCACTCTGATTCACTCATTTTTTAAATGTCTCTAAATGTCCATTTTGAAATGGACAATTATTTTTTCGATCGCGTACAAACGAATATGCGTCAGGGAACCTACACATATAACAACGTATGCATTTATTTTCTACACGTGTCACGTGATAAATGTATCGTAGTGTTATCAAATGTTTTTATTATGTTGTTTAGAGTAGGCACAGTGATTGAATTCTAATAAGGAGGATTGATGCAACCATGGCATTTTTTACTACTGACAAAGTACAAGATTTTTATGTCTGTAATGTAGTAATTCCAACAGTAGTACTTACATTAATTGCATTTATTTTAATTATATTTAAGAGGTGAGTAATTATATAGGATTCTGTATATATTTATATTTAATATTTTAAACATAAATGTTCAATATATTACTTCTTTCAATAATAAATTCTTCATAAATGTATTTTAGTATTATTTGGGTAATCATTATGGGTTGCTTGTACATAGTAAGCATTTTCTACGGACTTGTCATACTACAATACATTAATATGATAATGGTCAAGTTCAATGCTATTTGTGGTACACTGAAACCAATGTATGATGTTAAAGAGCCTTGCAGTGTTTGTAACAGTAATGACTGCAAAAGACATAAATTATTACCTCACTCGACTAAAGTAAAAATACCAAAGGATTTCGACTATGCTCTGGAACAAGTATTAAAATTTTTATCATTACATTAAAGATTAAGCGAGATTTAACAGAATTTTGCATTTATTTCCCGATAGACGCGTATAATTTCTGTTCCCAGCTTCTTGAAGACGTATTGCAAAAGTATGTTTGTGCATGGTACTCGGATTTCTCCACAAACGAGGCTTTTGTGCAACAACTTCGTTTGGCTACAGCTACTGCAACTAAAAATATTGCAGTTCGTTTGTTGCGCACGGATGTAGCCAATGTCGTTTTTTATCGACTAATACCTTTGCTTTTGCAACACTCTCAAGATTGGAAAGTGTTGAGCGCGAATTCTCAAAAATCATGCGATATTTCTCATTTCCGTGACCATGTGATTAAATATTTGGGTCATGAGATTCATCCAGCAGCTTACTCACGAAAGGCTGAACTAAATTATCTTAGAGGCTTGGTCATTGCAATTCTACCACATTTACTTCCTGCTGTACATGTATCCACTAATAATAAGGTGAGACATAACACTTAATCTTTTTAAACACTCTTTGTGTCTTCAAACAGTAATATTGTTTTTACATGCAATAACATGCTATTTGATGCACTTCTTAAAAGTATTCTTTTACTCAGAAGAACATTATAAAAAATGTTTTATTAAAAAATATTTTCAGGTGATACTTCGTGAAATTTTATCAAATTGGATTCTACTGCCGGCGATAGATGCGATCGCCGATCCAGAAAACATAAATACTTTAGTAATGCTATCAACGCATCGGGATGCAACAATGTCCAATCATATAGATACATTAAATGTACAGATGCTGCAATGTTGGACGACCAACCTAGTTATACCAAACTTCTCATACAATCATCTAAAACCTTCTTTGGATGAGATTTTGAACAATGCTAGATTGTTATACATGTTTATACAACACGTGAAAGAAACTGGGCCTATGAATCTTTTACAATTTTGTTTAGATATTGGTAAATATCGACTCAAAATATTTTACTTACAATTAGTGTAATTATAAAATTGATGTGTCAAAATTATATTCACTCAATTCTAATACTTTACTTGTTTGTAGATGACCTAAGTAAACGAATGTTAAATCCGGAGATAAGTGCAGACGCTGAAAATAGTTTATACATTGATATACAAAATATGTATTCAACGTATCTTGATCCTGATGGGCCAGAGTATTTACATTTACCAAAAGATATATCAATGGGAATTCAGCAAGGTAAATACAAAGCATATTATACTTTGTAATTAGAAATTGTAACATCATTTTAGATCTCTGATAACATTTTTAGTTCTTGAAAAAAGTTCAAATAAAATCGAAGAACTAAGAACATCACGACCGTTTTATCAAGCACATCAAGAAGCGCATGCATTATTAGAATCCACTTGCGTACCGTCATTTCATCACAGTTATCAGGTGAATAAAATGACAGTATTTTGCCTTTTGTGTAAAAATTATTAGAAATGTCTATTGTTTCAGCTTTACGTTTCGTTATGCGGATGTCCAACAGTAAGTAATGTTAAACAATCATCACGTACAAGGTGAGTAAATTGACACTGAAAGATAAATTAGCGTAATCTTTGTAAAATAATAGAATGATCTGTAATTTTAGTGTTGTCGGTGGATTTACAAATGTATCAGCGAAAATTGGGAATCACTTTCCAAAGATAGAAGGGATTTTACGAGCGTCAACAATCGACGGAATGCCTTACCAAGATATCTACCAAGGCGAAGAAATTGATAATCCGCTACGACCATACAATGAAATTAAATGTACAGACAGTACCTTCTCCAGAGATTTAACAACATGGCGAGTTAGTATTCTGCATACTGAGTCCGGAGACAGTCAACCGCTTTATATGATATCTGTGCACGACATAGCTGAAGGAAAGTCTTGGACAGTTTTACGCCGTGATCAAGACTTTTATGCTTTGCGTACGCGATTGATAGAGTTCCACGGTGATAAGGAATTGAGCGACTCGCCATTGCCATCCCGAAAGAATCCTCATACTTCTTATAATCTGTATAGCCAGCGGTACGAGGACTTCTTGGACAAATTACTTTCGAAACCATCACTCAGAAGCAGCGAGCTGTTGTACAATTTTTTGACAATGCCGAATTTGAAACCATACTTTACAAATTACAGCACGCCGGATATTGGAATACTGTATCAAAGTATGGCATATAAATTACGGAAAGAGAAAGGTCAGAATCTGGATAAATTTATGACAACGTTTCTGGCATCTACCAATATTAAGAACGATTATACTGATATTGGAATTGAATTTTCGAACGATACAAAAGATGTTGAAACAGAGAAAAAGAGCCACGCGGACAGAATATTCGGCGATAATTTAAATATAAATGCCAATTTACAAAAGATTTTATCCTGTCCTTCGACGAAGCGCATTCACGTGAAAGGCACTTGTTTCTGTATTGCAGACGCAGGTAAACTCTCAACTATTTCAACGATACGTATTCTTACATTCCGTAGAGTAAAACTCCAATTTTCTATTTTTCACTTTAGTGGAGAAATTACTGAATGTCCCTTCGATGGTCACGCGAGCTGTTTGGATGTTCGCTTTCTCAACTCGTACAAAAGTAGATCCGCTAGTCAATATTTTATTTTATAACGCCTTGACAAAAATATTGAGTAACGGCCGTGCAGCTGCTGTAGTCAACTTGTTGCATACGAAAGTCATGTGTGATAAGAGTTGTAAGAAAGAAAGAATTTCTGCAGGAAACTGTGAAAACTGTTACGAGAGCGCGAAGAAAGGATTGTATGGTTTACTACCGTACTGGTTAATAGGATTGTATAAACCATGGACAGAATTAATGGATTCTGTTGTAGATTCTTTACAAAATGCACAACTTAACAAACACATTGCATACGTTCTTTTAGATCAAATTGTGATAAGTCTGTTTCCTGAACTTGTACTTTAATTTATATAAGAATTATCGATATCATAGCATAGATAAACTTAATTATGTACATTAAAATATAAAATACTCATCTACTATATCATTTGTAATGAATGTTTGAAAGTAGTAGTAATACCATTAATAATTTATAGATCTACTATTGTATATTTTATAAGAAATGCATAGAAGGTACGAAATGAATATTGTAATATATTTCCAGAAATTAAAACGTTGCGAAAATTGGACATCGTTAAAAATCACATTTACATGTAACAATTTGATTATTTTATTCGCTAGCGATTATCTGGCTATTAATAATTACAGACTTCTCGTCGAGAAAAAGAAGATATGAAAGTAGATAACGTAATTGTGAAACGGCTTGATCTCATTTAACACGGAAATAAAGTAGGGCAAGACCTATGCATTTAGATGGAAATAGATTTGAACAATCTTGATCATACAGACATAACATACCTTTATTATCTCAAGTGGACGGAACGGTATACATAGTTGAGGTTTATAAAAAGAATGACGATATCGGGAACATCATTATATATATTGTAGCTACTTGAAACAGGTTAAACAGTTCACATAATAATGTCAGAGGAAACAACCACTGATATTTTGCAACCCTTGTCTTTTGAAAAATGGAGACTCCTTCAACGTAAAACGAAGCATAATTGGCCACAATTTGCATATGTAAGTCTCTACAGTGAATAACCTATAGTTCTCATTGCATATTTTCATCAGGCTCACTTTCTGGATATGGTATTAATGAAGGACTATTTCTTATAGATTTACTATTGGATTGAAAATGCTATTAAATGGAAAGAAAAAAAACCTGACATTCTAATTGATATCTATTGTCCATATGGTGATTTAGAAAAGGATACTTTCATTGGAATATCCAAGGTAAATACCATACATAAATATGTAAACCATTCACCCATGTAAACGTATGGTAAATTTATTTGTTTAGTTTTCCATATCTATAGTGATAACATTTACTCTAGAACCAAGTAATGGATTATTATATAAAATATTAACAGAAACCAATGTTATAAATTGGAAAGAAACAATTTATTTGGCTGCTGTTCATGAATCTGTTAAGCCTACTGTATACACAGCGATAGAATACTTAAAAAATGTACGCAACTTACAGATTAAATTGGAAGTACCAGGTAATTATTATTTTAAATCTGCTAAGGAATGTGCAGAATTAAAAGTTTGGTAAGCATCATTTTTATTTTCTATATTTGCACGCATTATTATTTAAATATTAAGTGTGTATTTTATTTTTCGTTAGCGTACCAGAAGAATGTTATTTAAAAACATTAGATAAATCGGATGTTCATCTTGTGCATTCTGAATGGCCCCAAAAAAGTTTAGAATGTCCTGAGGAATCTACAAAATACTTAGCTACAATGATAGAAATGAATTGTGGGATAGGATTGCGTTTGAAAAAGGACAATAGTTTGGTTTCTTGGATACTCCATAATGATTGGCATGGTTTAGGAATGGTGCAAACTTTGGTTGAGCATAAAAGAAAGGGGTATGCAAAAACAGTTTCGTCTGCTCTAGCAAAAGATCTTGGACTACAAGATATTTCGGTAACATTATTTATCGTCGAAGGCAATTTGACATCCGAAACAATGTTTACGAATCTTGGTTGGAAACAAATTTCACCAATTATCTGGATAATAGTTCAAGAACAGGAATAACAAATAATAAGGATAATAAGTAACATGTAAATAAATTACAGACAAATCGTTTAAAAATGAAGCTTA